TTCTCCTATATAAAATTTATTGCATTCGCAAGGAATTTTATAAATTACATTTTTTGTATTTTCAATTATATCATGAGGTTTTGTTACTGAAATTTAACTTCTAATTGTATTTTCAGTTTTGAAGATAGTCCTAATATTAAATTTTTTACCTACTCGTTTAATTTGATCTGAAAGTCCTGGAATAAATGGAATGAAAAGGTTCGTAATAGGTTTATTTTGATTTTGTTTTGTTCGTGGGAATTCAATTTCGTTAAAACATTTTTTATACGCAGGATACCCTCTAGGTGATAGTTCTTGATTACTTTTTGATAAATAATTCGTTCTTATTGCGAAATAGGAGAACTATTTATCAATCTGTAATAAAAGACGTGAGGAAATTCTGTCTTTTTTAAAGACAAAAATTTTTGAGGCGAAAAAACCAAAAAGAAGTTTGTAAAAAAATGAATCCGCCTCAACAATATAGAACTTATCTTCAGTGTTTATTTTGACAACGACATTAAAGTACGCAATAACTTTATTTTAATTAAGACGGCTGCTCATTTAAAGTGTTTATTAAAAAAATCAAATCAGATCAATAATAATTAAAATTTAACTCTACAAACTTTCATTTTTATTGTAAAATATTTTCAAAAAGCACCATTATTATCAAAGCAAACATTGCAACGCTTTAAAACTGATTAAGTTGCTTTTCTTGTAGGCCGACCATCAATATTTTCAAGTGCTCTAACAACAGCTTCTTTAAGTGCATTTAAATTGGAATATTTGTTTTTGTAAACTGTGTTTTTTACGGCTCCAAAGATGAAAGATCCGGTGATCGAGGTGGTCATAAAATAGGGCATCTCGGAAAAGTATAAGAATACATTTTGTCCATTTGACCTTCTTCGAAACTGCTCTAGTTCCGAAGATCTCTGTACTAGTACTCGAAAAAAACTCACCCTCTATATCGAGCAATTACTACCTCACAGGGGAACATGCAAAAGTTGCCTATAAATTGATTCAGAAGCGGCCACACTGTAGATATAAAGTAATTAAATAAATGGAAATTCGGTAAATTTATTTCATAGGCTGCAGCAACAAATCGACCATACAACTATCGGTTTTATCAGCTTCTTACAAACACAAATATGTATATGTTAGAACTTAACATTTTGAACGCTTTCGTCGAATTAGAAAGAAATGAATGTTGCATATTTTAATTGGATTATTTTCCCAGCAACGGCTCAACTGGCAACAGCAAAAAAATCCAATAAAATTACTTTCTGAACCTTTTCTTGCAAGATTTGCGCACCATTTGGGGGGCGTTTTTTCATGCAAAAACAAAAATAATCCGATTCTCTTAAAAAAGTATTAAGCAGCTGAAATTTGAAGAATTTTTAAAATAAATGTGAAGGAACAGTTAATGCAGAAAAAAGCTCCAACTTCAAGGCGTATTAATTTAAAATCGGAAACGACTTTTCCGGTAATTCGGCCACGGTTTTCCTGCGGGGTCCTAAAAGGCACATTTTTCCGCCGCCCCAAACACCTGTTACGGCATGCCATTAACCCCGCCATGACGGTGGCCCATTTTTGCAGTTAATCTAGTGACGTAAAGCTGAAAAATTGCCCGACCTTTCTTTAAAAAGCCGAAAATGGGATGCTGCCGCTTGGCAACCCGTTCAAAAAGGCCCTAGTCACGATCCAGAGGCGTACAATTCCTGCTTATCGCCGCAAAAAACATCGTTTTGCCGTATCTTTGTTACACATATCCGATTTTGATCTACCGATGTCCAGGCATAAAAACCCACCAAAGTGTCTGTGTTGGTAAAAAGTCGATTTTTTCTTAGATCTCTGTTAGGTAAAGGTGAAAACAATACTGCGCTCACCTAGAACGGCTAATTTAATACTTGAAGTAGGCAGAATAAAAAAACATTACTAAATGGTTACAAATAGTGTTGGAAATTCAGCTCCTCTTTAAGTAGTAATGGTAATAGTTACTACACTTTTTTATTTCTTGTAAAAATGCACTTGTTTAGAACAAATTCATTAGCAAGAATTTTAATTATTTTATCCAAACATAAATATTTATTTATAAATGGAGATTTTACCAACTCATAAGTAGCTAAGATTATGAACTTTTGAAGTTGCCACTATTTATAAGGAAAATTTTGCAGTTTTCAATGGGGGAACATAAAGAGCTTCAGCAGATTAAGGGTTTAGGATAAAACTGTTTTAAATGTGCATTTCCAAGAGGGCCATGAAGACATCGGACTTTGCAGCAATAAGCTTGAAAATTCGTCGCAACTTGGTCAAAGCTTGATTTTTGACAAAGTTTCCAATATTTACGATAAACACTGCATCTCTTTTATAGCGCAAATTGCTTTACCGATACAATCCCGACCAAACCCTAATACTAAATGTAAGACTAATTTATTAAAAGACTCTTAATTTAATTTAATTAAGAGCTTAAGTGTTTTCAGCATTTAGACACCTATTTTAAGAGACACTCGGTATAATACGGTTTTATTCACGAAGACTGCTGGACTAAAATATCATTGTAAAATATTTATATTTATTTAGAGCTGCACGATTATCCCAGTTTAAAATCACCCATTGTGAAATAAAAAAAATCATATTTCCAACATTAATTATTTTCACGTCAATTTTCCAACTGCGCTTTTCTTCGAGATAAGATATACCAGTTGATTGCCTCAATTTCTAAGGAATTTGCTTACTTAAAGTAAGTAAGTAGTAAGTCAGTAAGAATGTAAGTAGAATGTAAGTAAGTAAGTAAGAATGTAAGTAAGTAAGTAAGTAAGTAAGTAAGTAAGTAAGTAAGTAAGTAAGTAAGTAAGTAAGAATGTAAGTAAGTATGTAAGAATGTAAGTAAGTAAGAATGTAAGTAAGTAAGAATGTAAGTAAGTAAGAATGTAAGTAAGTAAGTAAGAATGTTAGTAAGTAAGTAAGAATGTAAGTAAGGAAGTAAAGTAAGTAAAGTAAGTAAAGTAAGTAGTAAGTAAGGAACATGCGAAAATTAAAGCTGTTTAATTACTACAAGAGAGAATTGTAAATTTTTCAAATATCGAAAGATGAAGAACTGGCCTGATCCTGCAATCAACCTCACTTGAGGCTCAAAAGATTCGAGTACAATGACATACGCTTCACCTCAATTTTCAATCTATAATCGCTTGTAAATGAATCAACAGAGACACGAACTTTTATCAAATTGCGCTTCACTTTGAACGTAAGTAAAATCGTAAATCAATTCTTCTGATTGCACAGTACACTTATTTTGGAACATTTACTTGAGAAATATTTGATATTCATATAAATCATCCGAAATGAATGAAACTAAAATCTTACCTTCAAAGTTACTTGCGCTGCATGGTCTACAAACTGCCCCCAGATTGGTTAGCCATTCATGTTTCGTTCTTTCTTTGAGCACAGCAAATATCCTGAAATATCACACATTACAAAAATTAGAACTTTCTGGATATTGAGATAATACTATTAACAGATGTTTAAAGTGTAAAAAAATAAACCTTAACAACAAGTTTCGCCCAGCTTTAACTCAAATTAGGAAATGAACAAGAAATCCGGCAAGCCAGTGAAGTGATTTTATCAACAAAAATCTCAATCCTAAAATACCTAAAATAAGATACTATCAAGATTCAAGACTAAAAAATTGCAACCTTTCAGCTGTCATGACAATTTAGAAACAAAATATTCAGCCAACATTTAAAAGCGGGTACAAAATTTGACTTATTTTGATGAGGAAACGCAACTTCTATCTCTGAACATGTTACTTTAGTTTTGTCTCGTTAGTTTAAAAATAAATTTAATATTTTTGAGCTAGCAAGAAAGCATACATCTATATGTTTCCAAATGTTTCATGGTTGTAAAATATTACTTCGACTCTATTGGTTGCGCAAAAACGACTTCTTGGTACTAATCAGGCACGGATTTTTATCTAAAGTAAACTGTATAGAAGAGTTGAAACTTTTGGATGTTTTTCTGCATTTCCATGAAGTAGATCAGTAGCCGCCGTCCCTGCTTCCCATAATGGCAACATTAACGTCCACACCTTTAATATATGACTATGTACAAGTTTTGCATGCTGTAAAGCTTCCGATAATAAAAACGGGTTCAGATTCGAGACATAAAAATGCCTATAAATTTCGGCCTATGCGACATGCCCTCCAGCATCAATTGTAAGAGCAACATGCCCTAAAAGGACATTTACGGCGTTTCCAAAGCGAAGTTACAGGTATACGTTTGATACCCAGTTATGAGGTGAAACGATTGGTTTTATGGAGTGTTGTTCTGGGTAAAATATGTGGTTTTCTGCCCGCAGAAGCCCTGAAATTGGGCAAAAGTAACGCAGTTAAATTTACGGTTGCTTTAAAAACTTGAAACTCTCGTAAAAACGGCATTGCCAGTGTTGTAAATAAAAGGTGGTATTCCCATTTAAATATAAGGCATTTCCTTAGCGTAAACGAAGCCAATGCACTAATAGGATTTATATTTGTAATTAAGGAGGCGTTGTTTACGTTCCCCGTCATGATTATTTTCATTAAGGCCACGTTTTCCGTGTTTTTGACCCCTTTGTTGCACCGATTTCATTCGAGAGGTCGGTTACGTTTAATTATTTTTAAATAGCTTTTCATCCAGCGTTTCATCCAGCTCGTGCCATTTCTTTGCATTGTTTGTCAAGAAGGTATCCCAAACAATGTTGACGGATTTGCCCCCTACTGGTTTTACAAGCAAGAATGCCGACAAAGGATCCAGAACGCATAGCTCGCAATGAATTATGACAAATTTTAATGCCTTCAAGAGTAATTTGACATCTTTATGACAAACAGTCCGCTAGTATAACAACATTTTACAATGGCGTTCGTCATGCTGGGATGATTAGGGAGTGCTGCTCTGGCGGGAATCGCAAATATTTTAAATGGCCATCATATTATGGATGTCTGCCCATCAATTGAGCGTACTGAAAAAAGCTGATGGTTCGCCTTAAATCAGTAGAAGGGTTCTAATGAATTTCATTTTTATTTTTTGATATTTTCCACTGTTTCCAGTTTACTTCCATTGATAGTTTTTAAATACGACTATATATGGAAGGGTTTGTCAGTTTTTAAAAACCGTTTTTGGAGAAAATTATGAAATTCGAAAACCGGTTTTTTAGTAGAAAACATCGGTTTTCAATGTATGAATAACACTTTTAAAAAAATTGAAAATGACAAATGTAGCCAAATGTACCAGATTGATGAAAACACTGTTGCAAGCGGTTTGGTTCTTGGATTCATATCAGTCCGATATGATTTCAATAAACGATGTGTT